GTATTTGAGCTTCAGTTTCATTATCTGGCCTTCCAGGGAACAGTCAGGGTTGATTTCTATTAGGATTGACTGATCTGATCTTTTTGCAGTCCAAGGGACAAGCCCTTAGTCCCTTTGATTATTTGTTGTTGTTAGATTAACTGTTCTGGGTTTTGTATGTAGAGTTTAACTGTTCTGGGTTTTGTATGTAGAGTTTTGGTCTGTCGTTCCCATTTTAAACAAAGGTTTTCTTGCTGTTCCGCTTGCTTCTTTGATGCTGGTTTGATCTTTTGCAAGCCAGCGTGGGTATAGCCTTTTAGTTAAGGATGCAGGGTAATAATATTTTGAAGCGATAGAAGCTTAGGAGAAGATGAAGACAGACGCCTAATGAAGAGTCAGGGAGGTTATGTGGAATCTGTGTGGTCCCGAACCGTAGCAGCCCCATGGGCCTTTGAACCTGCTGTGTTCTCCTCTGTCCTGAGGCAGTCCAGGGCCTTCTTACAAATCCTTCAAGGACTCAGATCCCTGGCTGCATGTGTGAGACCCGCTGGCGGAATCTCACTTGATTGGCTGCCTGAAGATCGGGGGTCCCTGACTCTTTTGAGCCTGTGGGCCCTCTTCGAATTCTGACACAGTGTGGTGGGCGCAGCCACAGAACGACTGCTGCAAGAGGTGGAGCCAGCCGGCCACAAAAGGGCCGTTGTGGCTGACCTGCAGTCACACAGTGAAGATCCTTGTGCTGTGGTGGCCGCCGCCGCCAAAACAGCATTCTGAAAACCTGTACAGCCAATCAAATTTCCACTGGCCAATGAGAAACCTTGCTGGGCAAAAGCCTCACATGGCTGTACCTGCTTTCTAAAAGGACTTGGTGGGCACCACTGAAGGTTTTGATGGGCGCCTTGCCTTCCACGGGCACCACGTTGAAGAACCCTGCTGCAGATGCTGTCTGCTGACTGAAGGTTATATTTAAGTTGGTGCTTCATCAGGCATTGACCATGAAGGTTGCTCCAGGCTTGGGGCTCTTTCAGTAACAGCTTTGGTCTTGATCCTTCCACTTCTTTTTACAGGAACTTTTGATGGTTCTCCCCATTAGGGCTCCCCTCCCCCCTTTTTTAAAGATTGCTGCCTTGTGTTTTTCTGCAAAGTGAGGGTCTTGGGATTGTTACCTGCATCCAGTAGCTCTGTTCCTGAGCTAGTGAGCTGTATAATTTTTGCATCAGACAAATGAAACTTTCCTTCTCCTCACTTCTTCAAGAGGTAGCTAAGGATCTTTAGTAGAAACCTCAGCACCTTTGCTAATAAATAGTCCCATATGCCCCAGAGTTCTTAGGGGGATGCCAGGCTGGTTAACGGTGTAAATCTGAGATGTTTGTAGTATGGATGTACCCAGTGTGGGGCTTCCTGTTTTTCCACTATGCCTCACTGCCTGTAAGTAGAAATGGGAGTCTTCCTTCCTCTAGCTGGTGGGGGAAGAAGTTGGAGGAGGCCCTGAACCCAGATTCTTTTGTCTCAGGACTCTGAAGTTTCTGGCATCCCAGGATTATTCCTCCTTGGTAAGATTTCCAGGTCCTCTTGGCCGCTGGTGCTGGTGGGGGAAGAAGTTGGAGGAGGCCCCGAACCCAGATTCTTTGTCTCGGGACTCTGAAGTTCCTGGCGTCTAGGTCCTCTTGCCTGCTGGTGGGGGGTTGGGTTGCCAGCTCCACGTTGGGAAACTCCTGCAGATTTTGGAGCAGAGCCGGGGGGGGGGCGGGATCTCAGTGGGGTATAATGCATCGATTCCCTCCAGGGGAACTGATCTTTATAGTGTGGATATGACCTGAGATCCCCAGGCCCCACCTGGAGGCTGGCAACCCTGCTCCCTGGAATTGTAGCATCAGCAGCTTTATCAAGCACACGGGTTTTGCTTTCCTTTGGCACAGCGTCACCTTTGTCCCTTGGAGGGCCCTTTGGCACATCCTTGGTGGTGGATCTGGGCTGAGGTCTGCACGTGGAGGGGAGGCCATCCAGTTTCGCTGCTCTTCTGTTGCTTAGGAGTGAGGGGCGAGTTGGGAGTTGCAGGCGTTTGCTCCTGCCTCTCTGCAGTACCAGCAGGCCAGGAGTCGGGATGTCTCTCCGTTAATGATGTACGGCATGGAACGTCCCAGGCCGCTTCCTCGGCTCTCTGCAGTGTTGGCAGCGGCTCCAAGCAGATGATGCGAGAGAGAGAGAGAGAGAGAGAGAGAGAGAGCCTCTGGTGCCTGGCAGTGCTGCAGAGCAGACGAATTCCGTGCAGGCTTTGTGTGCGGTGTGGTGGTGGGGTACATGGTGGCTGAGCAAGAGGGCTGGAAATGAGCCAGTGTGGGCTTTGTGATTAGGACAAGGGAGGCTTGGGGTTTGAATCCTTTCTCTGCACTGAACTTTATATCATATATTCAGGACTTTGAAAAGGCTTTTGACAAGGACCTCACCAAAGGCTCCTGACTAAACTCAGCAGTCATGGGATAAGAGGACGGGTTCCCTTAGGGATTAAAAACTGGTTAAATGACAGGAAGCAGAGAGTAGGAATCAATGGACAGTTCCCACAATGGAAGAAAGTAACAATGCCGGACTAGATGGACCATTGGGCTCCTCATACGTTCCTGTTAAGCAACGCTGGGCCTAGCTTCAACCTAGGTTCATAAGGGGGAGATCCACAAATGCCCTCCTGAGTTCCTTGGAGGAAGGAGGAGGAGAGGAGGAGGAGATTGGATTTATGCTCTGCCCTTCACTTGGAGTCTCAGAGTGGCTTACAAACTCCTTTCCCTTCCCCTCCCCACAACAGACACCCTGTGAGGTGGGTGGGGCTGAGAGAGCTCTGACACAAACTGCTCTTTTTCAAGGACAGCTTTGCCAGAGCTTGTGACTGACCCAAGGTCACACCAGCAGGTGCAAGTGGAGGAGTGGGGAATCAAACCCGGTTCTCCCAGATTAGAGTCCGCACACTTAACCACTACACCAAACTGGATGTGTGTGAGAGAAAATGTGGCATTTATCAACATAAAATAAAACAGGAGTCTGGTGGCCAATGCCCCCACTAAACTATGGAGTCTTGTGAGCAAAAATTCTACTTTGTGAGCTCCTGGCATTAAAGTTGTGAGCAAGCAATTTGGCTGCTGCATAAATTAGTTTGCTCTGGAGTCCTCCTTCCTGAGCTAAGATGAAAATGTGTGAGCCAGAGGCTAAAAAACTGAGCTAGCTCACATTAACTCAGCTTAGAGGGAACACTGCTCGTGGCACCTTATCAAATCAAGCCTGAACTCTCCGTAGACACTGAAATGATCGAGCTGAGGCTATCATACTTTGGTCACATTATGAGAAGACAAGATAGACGGAAAGGACCGTAATGCTAGGAAAAGTCGAAGGCAGCAGGAAAAGAGGAAGACCGAAGATGAGAGGGATGGACTCAACCAAGGGAGCCACAAGGGCCCTCAGTTTGCAAGACCTGGGCAAGGCTGTTAAAAGATAGGACATTTTGGAAGACATTAATACATGGGGTCGCGGTAAGCCACTTGACGGCACTTAATGCACAGACAGAGTGGCACCTGAAAGACAGACAACATTTATTCCAGCCTTATGTCTTTAAGCATTCATCTTTAAGGTGCCACTAGACGTCTTTCCCCCTACGGACTGACATGGCTGCCCCTCTGGAATTGTCATCACAGATGCATTTTAGGTTTCTAGTCTAGATTTGTGTGTGTGTGTGTGTTGAAAGGTACATCTTTAGGATTTAAAAAAGGCTTTTGGAGGGGGCTGTTAAGCCACAGCTGACTTACAGTGACCCTGTAGGGCAGGTGTGTCAAACTCATTTGTTATGGAGGGCAGGATCTGACATAAATGGGACTTTGTCGGGCTGGGCCATGTGTGCAATAACATGTAATGCCAGGTAGTGGAGATATAAACTTTATAAAGGACACAAACATAAAAGTTTTTTTTTTACTTAAAATAAAAACATGCCTGAAATATTAGCATTCTTGAAATATTTTGTTTATTTAACAGTCTCTGATAACTGACACTTCTTGCTCTGAATTATTGCATCAAAATGTCTGTGCTGTAGCAATCTGGGAGGGGGAGGAGCCTCAGCCCAGTGCAGGGAGCAGAAGCTTGCCTATCTATCTGTGAAAGCAAGCTACAACGTAGCAGCAGCAAAACTGGAGGAAGAAGCAGGAGACAGCCAGTCCCTAGCGGGCCTGATAGAAGCCCTCGGGGGGGGGGCACATCTGGCCCCTGGGCCGCATGTTTGACACCCCTGCAGTAGGGTTTTCAGGGTAAGAGACATTAAGGGGTGGCTTGCCATTGCCTGCCTCTGCATAGCGACCCTGGACTTCCCTGGTAGTCTCCCATCCAAATACTAACCAGGACTGATCCTGCTTAGCTTCCCGGATCTGTAGAGATCAGACTAGCATATCTGTAGAGATCAGACTAGCATATATATGAGAGATAATAAAATGTTTTAAATAATGAGGATACCCTTGTGAACTCAGGACCAGTGTTCCTTCTAAGCTGAGTTAGTGTGAGCCAGCTAACAGTTTTTTAGCCTCCAGCTCACACATTTTTGTCTCCGCTCAGGAAGGATGGCTCCAGAGCAAACTAATTTATGCAGCAGCCGAATCGCTCGCTCACAACTTTAACGCCAGTAGCTCACAAAGCAGAATTTTTGCTCACAAGACTCCACAGCTTAGAGGGAGCATTGCTCAGGACCTCAGTTTCTTTTTTTCCCCCCCTGTTGTAACTTTAGAATAGCAAGCTTACACTTAACCTTCAGTGCCCGGAGGCCTTTGTAACCCTGCCGAGACCAGGATGGTGTGAAGGGCCCCTGAACTCATCTAGATTAATCTCTGTTCTCTTCCTCAGGGGTGAATTGCTTGGC